CGCGCGGAGAGGACGAGGCCTCCTTGGCGCCCGGGAGATGGGCTGCGCAGCCACCAAACTGTTGCTGTCGCCGTTCTCCTTGGAGTGGAACGGAAACTGAGGGAGGGGCGCCGACGCCGAAAAGGCGGTCGATGCCTTGAGGAATGGTCAGCGCAGACCTGCCCCGCCAGTAGTTTTCATCGTGTGCCTCTCACGCCTTAGGGGTTTTACCGGGTCCTGCGGGGGGGAACGGGCCGGTGGTGGGAGATGGGTGTGGATTCCGGCGGCGCTGCGCTCTGGAACCTGAGAGTGGAGTCGGGTCACGTGGGGAGCGCGCACCCTTCCCTCCTCGGCGCCCGCATCCCGCCTGGAAAAGCCCCGGAGGAGACCGCGATCGCCGTCGCTGTCCCCGGCTGTCAAACGGAGCGAACCCGTGTGCCGCTTCCTGGGAGCCGGAGAGCCCCCTCCTCCGCCTTCCGCCAGCTCCTGGGCTGGAAGTCTTCAAGAAATGTGTGTCGGGAGACCTGGAGGGCGAACGAGTCCGTGCACTTCGCTTATGCGCCGCCCTCGAGATCCATGGCAAACCTTTCCACCTGTCTCAGCCGACAGCTCTCGGGGTCCTGGAAAAAGCAAAGCTGAGTAGATAGGCCCGCTGTGCGTGCTGGAAGAGTAAACGCGTGGCTAAAGTCCACTGTCAAAATTCAAAGGAAAGCTTGTAGTAGGCTCAGTAATTGATAAATTTGTTGTAAAAATATTGAATGGAGCATTTGCATACGCCTTGGGGGGGGGGTTGTCGCAGCTTGATTGTGGGGTGACAGAAAAAGGACAGGAAAATCTAAATTTTTAAAAGGAAGTCCACATACTGTACATTCTACGCACATTAACCAGTCACATAGATGTTAGATTTTTTTCGTGGCTTTTTTTAATGTTTTTATTGATTTGAGAGTAAGAGAGAAACATCCATGAGAGAGAAACATCATTGACTGTTTGCCTCCTGCGTGCCCCCTATTGGGGGGTTGAGCCTGCAGCCTGGCACATGCCCGGACCAGAATGGAACCCACCCAGCCCGTGACCCTTCGGTGCATGGGTTGGCACTCAACCAACTCAGCCACATCGGCCAAGGCGATTGTTTTTTTTCTGATCCATTGTCAAGAAACATCACACATCAAACTAGAATGTAAGGAAATGTCAATTTACAAATTAATGTAAAATAAATTATGAAATGTCCATATGGAGATGTTGGTTCTACAGCCAGTAAAAATCACATTTTGTATAATATTTAATTGTATGCAATATGCTTAAGCAAAAAATAAAAAGTTTCATGTGATAACTGGAATTATAAGTGATTTTTATTTAACATTGGAGATCTTTGGTAAAATTTGAAGTGAACTATTTTCTTCATTTTTGGAGGATTTTTTCCTACCTTTACTTAATAAGCATATCTATCACAAGTTAAAATTTTAATGTACAGTTTTAACTTTTCATAAACCTGAAAAGGCATTGCTTCAGATATGTGACTTATTAATGTTTGCTAGTTATAAGTAAAAATGTTGTTTCCTGAGTAAGCAGTGTTATTTTTACTTTCTACTATTAAGTAGTCCTGATAAAAGGGTCCTCCAAATTGCTTGCTAATAAAATAAGTTTTCAACAATCTTTGAAAATTTAGATAAGATTGGAATGTGCATGTGGGTAAAACAGAGATTGAATGCTGAATCATAGAATTTTATTTTTTAAGGAATTATTTATTTTGGACAGTATTTAGAGAAAAAAATTAGAGCTGTTGGCTGGACACAAATAGCACTAAGTCAACAAAGATAAAGCCCACTTGCATGGCAGTATAGCATAGCAGTTAGATCAGCAGTTCTCAACCTGTGGGTCGCGACCCCTTTGGCGGTCGAGCGACCCTTTCACAGGGGTCGCCTAAGACCATCCTGCATATCAGATATTTACATTACGATTCATAACAGTAGCAACATTACAGTTATGAAGTAGCAACGAAAATAATTTTATGGTTGGGGTCACAACATGAAGAACTGTATTTAAAGGGCCAGAAGGTTGAGAACCAGTGAGTTAGATGCTCGGGCTCTAAATGAAATAGATGTAGGGTTAAATACAAACTCCTCTCATTGGTGATGGGATCTTACTCTTTCTGGACCATGGCTTCCTCATCCGGAAAATGGGGATAATATTAGTTTCTAGTTCCTGGACTTTAATGATTTAGGATTAACAAAGATAATATTTGTACAGTGTCCAGCACGTAATTGTACATAAATGTTGAATCATAGAATTTTAAAGAGGAAAAGAAACCATGGGAATTATCTAGTAAGCCTTACTTTATAGGTGAGAAAACCGAAATCCAGAGAGGTTAAGTGATTTGCCAAAGGTCACACTGAAACAGATCCATGTCTAGGATCTAGATTATTCTTTTAACATACCAATACTACTATCGGATGTATATTAATATAGCTTAAGCTTAAACATTAACCCATTTGATCCTATCAACAATTCAATAAGGTTTTTCTGTCCTTCATTCTGTAAGTGGGGAAACTGAGACAAAGTAACTCACCAAGGCGACCTACAGCTGATAAGTAGCTGAGCACACATTTGAACCCAAGTATTATGGCTCTGGAACCCCTGGCCTTAGCCATTATGCTATATTTTGTGTACTGCGTTGTCTACCCTATGCCATAGCTGTTTTTTATCACACTGTGTGGTAAGATGAGCCAGTAGATCCTGCCAGTTTGGAAGGTATGAAAATGCTATGTTCAGCCCTAGCCAGGTGGCTCAGGTGGTTGGAGCATCATTCAGTGCACTAAAAGGTGCAATTTTCGTCAGGGCACATACCTAATGTTTATCTCACATTGATGTTTCCCCATCAATTTTTACAAAAACATTAAAAATGCTGTGTACAAGTTCATGATGTGAAAATGGAGTTGCTAAAATCTCAAGAATTTTATTGGAATTTCGCAGGACTTTAGAGTTTACAGAGACTTTGACCATCATCTAGAATATTGCCCTACCTCTGAAAACACTGAGCATGAACCATCCCAGAAAAATCATCTGTCCTACCTTTTCATTATGCACTGCAGCAACCATTGGGACACATTGCAGCTTTGAGGAACGTTTTTGATCCTTAATAGTCTAGAAGTACATCCCAATGATTGATTAACCTAAGACTCTTTTACAGTTTAAAATTATTCTCTCATCTTCAAGATAAGAGAATTCTAAAACACACACACACTATTACTGCATAACAAATTACCCTAGAATTAGCGCCTTAAAGCCATTTTATGTGCTCGCAATTCTATAGATCAGTGGTTCTCAACCTTCCTAATGCCACAACCCTTTAATACAGTTCCTCATGTTGTGGTAACCCCCAATTTCATTGTTACAAACTGAACATAATTAAAGCATAGTGATTAATCACAAAAACAATATGTAATTATATATGTGTTTTCTGATGGTCTTAGGCGACCCCTGTGAAAGGGTCATTCGACTCCCAAAGGCGTCTCGACCCACAGGTTGAGAACCCCTGCTATAGATCAATGATTTGGACTGGCAGAGTTACATGAGTGGCATCACTTCCACATTTTATTAGTC